GCAGAGCTGCCAGCGGGATGGAGCCGTGGCAGCTGCGGGAGGCTCTGGACCATGGCGAAGACGTGGACCTGGGAAGACAGCCTGTGCTGCTCTTGGCCGTCATCATGAAGGTGAGCACTTCTGACCTGCAGCTGGAGGAGCTCCTGGCTGGGCTGGAGTATGCAAAGGATCAGGTGGAGCCCTTGGCCTTGCAGGTTACTGAGAAAGTCCACTGTCTAGAGCAGTTTCTGGATGCAGCCTTCCTGGCCCATCAGAGCTTGACTGCTCAGGGCTGTCTGGAGGCCTCTTGCCTTCAGCAAAGGAATGCTAGTGGGACAGAACCTGGAAGCCCCAGCCCCTCCTGCAGCCGGAGGCCGGCGCAGCACACGCTGGCCCCGTGCCCGCAGCTGCCGGACGACGTGGGCTGCAAGAGCAACCCGCGCGTCAAGCCGCCCTTCTCCTACGCCAGCCTCATCTGTACGGCCAGGGAAGCCAGTGGGGAGCCCCAGGTCACCCTCTCGGCCCTCTACAGCTGGATCATGGACACCTTCTGTTATTTCCGACATGCCAATCCCACCTGGCAGGTGGGACATTCTGCCTGCCTGCTTTTCCTTCCTTCTTGCCTTTCTTTTCTTTATTTTCTTTGTTTTCTTTAATTTCTCTCCTTTTTTGCTTGCCTTCTTGCCTTCTTTTTTTATTTCTTTTAAATTTTCTTTCTTTCATGTTTCTTCCCTTTCTTCAGCCTGGATGCAGGGAGGGATGGTGCCTATTTTTTAGACAAGTATTTTCCCCTCAACACGAGCAATGGGCACAGGCACCACTGCATCCAGGCAGACTGGGAATATCTCTGGAGAACAGGACTCCACAGCCTCCCTGGGCAGCCTTTTCCAGTGCTTTGTCACCCTTCTAGTCTACAAGTGTTTCCACACCTTTCCGTGGAACTTCCTGTGTCCCAGCCCTTGTCCATTGCCCCTCAGCCTGTCACTGGCCACTACTGACAAGAGCCTGGCTCCAGGCTCGACGTTGCCCTTTCTGCTTTTTTGTTCCCAGAGGTCATTGCTGAAAAGGGGCCTCTCCCCCAGCACCCACATGCAGGGCGGTGCTGTGGCAGCAGACAAGCATTCAGCCCTGCTTTTGCTTCTCTCCTGTGCCTAGAACTCCATCTGGCACAACCTTTCCTCCCACAAGTGCTTCGTCAGGGTGCCCCGGGAGAAGGATGAGCCCGGGAAAGGAGGGTTCTGGAAGCTGGATCTCCTGTGTGCCCACCAGCTCCAGAAGGGGGCCTGCAGAAAGCGCAGGAGGTCCCCAGCACAGACCCACCCGGCCTTCACAGCAGCCTAGCAAGAGCCAGGGTGTGATGCCAGCCCAGCTCCTCCAGTCTGCACTCCCACCGGCATCCTCAGGGTCAGCAGAGAGTCGCAGCAGCTGCTGGAGGAGTTTGAAGAAGCCGTGGGCAGCCAGAGCTGGGATCCAGCTGAGGGCTAAGCAGGGCAGAAGCAGCAGCAGCCCTCACTCACCCCACCGGCCAAGGTGGCTTGGCTTTCCAGCATGGACTTGCTGATCCAGGAAGAGCAGGAGGAGCTGGGATCCTTGAAAGGTGACTGGGACTGGGAGGCCATCTTCAACACCAACCTGAACGCAGACTTGTCCACGTCTGGGGGTCTGGCCCTTCTGCCTCCAAACAGCCCCATCGTGCATGACCTGGACTTGACGGTCTGTGGGCAGCACAGCGAGGGTCCCCAGGGGCGGGAGCAAGTCCTCACCCAATCCCAGCAGAACAGCCTGGGCTGGGATGAAACCTGGGCTGCTGCTCTCCTGCAGAGTCCCTGTGATGAAGGGACAAGTGACTGCCTCACCAACACTGTCAGCATGGAGGAGGTGTTTGAGTGCGATGACGCCCCTTTGCCAGAGGGATGAAGAAGAAAAGCTACCCATTCAGCAGTTGGGCCTCTTGGAATGGTTTCTCTAGAATCTGTTCTAGATTATCTATTCCAAGAAGCATGTATTTCTACCATTAGACTTTCTTAGTAGTAGGGGGCTAGAGGAAAAGCAGTTTTGGAGTTTGATATTTTCACTGTTTAGTTGTTTTGTGTTTAATTGCTTAACTGTTTCATGTTTACACTCTTGAGTTGTTTCACTGTTTTGCTGCTTAATTGTTGAGCTGGTTTACATTTACACAGTTTAATGATATCACTGTTGGTTCAGTGTTTCCCGTTTGCACTGTTTAATTGTTTCACTGATTCACTGATAATTGCTTAAATGTTTCATATTTACACTGTTGAATTGTTCAAATTTTCCACTGTTTAATTGTTGAAATGCTTTCTATTTACACTAAATTTCTTCACTGTTTCACTGTTTAATATGTTATGTGTTCAATTTTTTCATTGTTTCACTGTTTAATTGTTTAAAGGCTTTATAATTACACTAATTGTTTGACTGCTCTGCTGTTTGATTGTTGAACTGGTTTATATCCTCAATGCTTATTTCACCATTTCACTGTGTAACTGGTGAAATGTTTTATATTTACACTAATTGTTTGACTTTTTCACTGTTCAATTGTTGAAATGTTTCATATTCACACTGTTTAATTGAATCACTGTTTAAATGGTTAAATGTTTTATATTTACACTCATTGTTTCACTGTTTTGCTGTTTAATGGTTTAAATGCTTTATATTTACATTGTTGAATTGTTTTGACTGTTTTGCTGTTCAACTCTTGAAATGTTTGATATTCACAATTTTTAATTGAATAACTTTAAATGGTTAAATGTTTCCTATTTGCACTGTTTTATTGTTTCACTGATTGTTCAAATGTTTCATATTTACACTGTTTAATTGTTTGAATTTTCCACTGTTTAATTGTTGAAATGCTTTATATTTACACAAAATTTTTTACTGTTTAATTGTTTAAATATATTGTGTTCATTTTTTTTCACTGTTTCACTCTTCAATTGTTTAAATGTTTTATATTTACACTGAATTCCTTCAGTCTTTTGCTGACTAATTGTTTAAATGTTTTAGAATTACACTAATTGTTTCCCTGTTCTGCTGTTTAATTTTTGAACTCTGATATTTTCAATGCTTATTTCACCATTTCACTGTGTAAGTGGTGAAATGTTTTAGAGTTACACTGTCAAATTGTTTGACAGTTTCACTTTTCAATTGTTGAAATGTTTCATATTCACACTGTTTAATTAAATAACTGTTTAAATGGTTAAATGTTTTATATTTACATTTGTTTCATATTTTCACTGATTGTTTAAATGTTTCATATTTACACTGTTGGATTGTTTGAAATCTCCACTGTTTAATTGTTGAAATACTTTACAATTACACTAAATTCCTTCACTGTCTCACTGTTTAATATCTTAAAATGTTGTATTTTCAATTTTATTTTTTCACCTTTTCACTTATTAATTGTTTAAATGTTTCATATTTACACTGTTGAATTGACTGTTTTGCTGCTTAATTGTTGAGTTGGTTTACATTTACACTGTTTAATTATATCACTGATTGTTTAAATGTTTCATATTTACACTTGAATTGTTTGACTGTTTCGCTGTTTAATTGTTGAAATACTTTATATTTACACTAAATTCCTTCACTGTTTTACTGTTTAAATTCTTAAATGTTATATTTTCAATGTTTATTTTTTCACCATTTCACTGTTTGTTTAAACATTTTATGTTTACATTGAATTCCTTCAGTCTTTTGCTGATCAATTGTTTAAGTGATTTAGAATTACACTAATTGACTGTTCTGCTGTTCAATTGTTGAACTGGTTTATATTTTCAATGCTTATTTCACTATTTCATTGTGTAAGTGGTGAAATGTCTTATATTTACACTGTGACTTTTTCACTGTTCAATTTTTGAAATGTTTCATATTCACATTGTTTAATTAAATCACTGTTTAATGCTTAAATGTTTTATATTTACACTCATTGTTTCACTGTTTTGCTGTTTAATGGTTTAAATGTGTTATATTTACATTGTTGAACTGTTTGACTGTATTGCTGTTCAATTGTTGAACTGTTTCATATTCACAGTGTTTAATTGAATCACTGTTTAAATGGTTCAAGGTTTCCTATTTACACTGTTTTATTGTTTCACTGATTCAATGATTGTTCAAATGTTCCATATTCACACTGTTTAATTGTTTGAAATTTCCACTGTTTAATTGTTGAAATACTTTACATTTACACTAAATTCCTTCACTGTTTCACTGTTTAATTTCTTAAATGTTATCTTTTTGGTGTTTATTTTTTCACCATTTCACTTATTAATTGTTTAAATGTTTCATATTTACACTCTTGAATTGTTTCGCTGTTTTGCTGCTTAATTGTTGAGCTGGTTTACATTTACACAGTTTAATTATTTCACTGTTGGTTAAATGTTTCCTATTTACAATGTTGAATTGTTTGAATTTTCCACTGTTTAATTGTTGAAATGCTTTATATTTACGCTCATTGTTTCACTGTTTCGCTGTTTAATTTTTAAAATATGTTATGTGATCAATTTTTTTCTGTTTCACTGTTTAATTGTTTAAATGTTTTATATTTACACTCATTGTTTTAACTGTTTTGCTGTTTAATTGTTTAAATGCTTTATATTTGCATTGTTGAATTGTTTGACTGTTTTGCTGTTCAATTGTTGAAATGTTTCATATTCATAATGTTTAATTTAATCACTTTAAATGGTTAAGTGTTTCCTATTTGCACTGTTTTATTGTTTCACTGATTGTTTAAATGCTTCCTATTTACACTGTTGAATTGTTTGAATTTTCTGTTGTGTAATTGTTTAAATGTTTTATATTTACACTCATTTTTTCACTGTTTTGCTCTTTAATTGTTTAAAAGCTTTATAATTACACTAATTGTTTGACTGTTTTGTTGTTCAATTGTTGAACTATTTCATATTCACAATGTTTAATTGAATCACTGTTTAAATGATTAAAGGTTTCCTATTTACACTGTTCTATTGTTTCACTAATTAATTGTTTAAATGTTTCATATTCACACTGTTGGATTGAAACTTCCACTTTAATTGTTGAAATGCTTTATATTTACATTGTTGAATTGTTTCACTGTTTTGCTGCTTAAATGTTGAGCTGGTTTACATTTACACTAATTGTACCACTGTTGGTTAAATGTTTCCTATTTACACTGGTTTCATATTTTCATTGATTGTTTAAATGTTAAATTGTTGCATTGTTTGAATGTTCCACTGTTTAATTGTTGAAATGCTTTATATTTACTCTAAATTTCTTCACTGTTTCGCTGTTTAGTTGCATAAATATGTTTTGTGTTCAATTTTTTTCACTGTTTCACTGTTAAATTGTTTAAATGTTTTATACGTACACTGAATTCCTTCAGTCTTTTTCTGATTGTTTAAATGCTTTATATTTACATTGTTGAATTGTTTGACTGTTTTGCTGTTCAATTGTTGAAATGTTTTATATTCATACTGTTTAATTAAATCACTTCAATAAAGTAAATTGTTTAAATGCTTTATGTTTACACTGATTGTTTGACTGTTTTGCTGTTTCATGGTTTAAATTGTTTTATATTTACACTCTTTTCGCTGTGTCCATTGTTCTGCAAACCAAGGCCAGCAAGGATTCCTAAAGCAGCAGCAATAGGTTTTGTTAAGGATCCAGCACTTGGCCTTGCAGGAGAGAAGCAGAGGAGACTGGGCTGCTCCCAGAACTGACCTGGCACTTGTATTTTTTGTAGCCACAATCCTTGTTTTGGGTTAGTGTGGTGGGGCTGGGAGGTGGGTGGCCCACAAGGGTGGCTCCTCTTGGAAGCTGCTGGAAGCTCTCCCGGCTCCAGTTCCAGCCTGTCGTCTGGCCACGCCCAGCCAAGCAGGGAAGCTGGATGTGCCTCTGGGAGTGACGGGTTCAAAACAGGGAAAAGGAACCTACAAAAGGACTGAAAGGGCACGGGTGGTGTGAGAAACACCATGATAACCAATAAGAAATGCTCAGACAGACTCCCCAGGGAAGCACATTTTACTGATGTGCTTGGAAGAGCAGGTGACCCACGAAGCAGGCATACCAGCTGGGCACTAGGCCTGTTTTATTCCCTAATCCCCATCCAGATATCCCTCCCTGGTTTCCCACTGGCTAGGTACTGCAAGGTTGACAGCCCACCCCTAGGCCTAAGCTTGCTGGTGTCCCTCCCCTCTCTATCTGGTACCGCACCCCATAAGCCTGGCTCCATCTGGTTTGTTTTTCCCCGTTTATGGTGGGGTTGTACAACCTTCTCTCCTTGAATTGGGTACTTGACCAACTTGCTAGCCACTCTTCTGCTATGAGCCAGTTTCCTCTGGCCCAAGCACTGAAACATTGCCACACCAGCCCTTGAGTGCATCTCACTTCAAAGAAATAGTTCCCTTGACAGTTTTCCCTCACAGGAAACAGCGACAGCTTGTACAAAAACAGGATCTATTTACAGCTCCTGCTAAAACTATAGGTAGTTCTATAGCTATTGATTTTCTGCTTCCTGCAGTGGTGAGAGCAATACTGGAACAGGGATCTTGAGGGCAGGGAGGCAGGACAGGGGAGGAGGTGCCCAATCAGACGTTCCCTGTAGCCCATGGGGAGATGCAACTGTCTCCCTGCCACCCGTGGAAGAGCATCGGGGAGCAGATGTGGATCTGCAGCCTGTGAAGGCTCATGCTGGGGCAGACAGGGACCTGCAGCCATGGAGGACCCAGTGCCAGGGGAGGTGGGACTGCACCTGCTGGGAGTGACACGTTGGAGGGGTTGGTCAAGGACTCTCTCCAGTGGGAGGGACTCCGCAGTGGAGCTGCAGGCTGTGTGGAGCCCTTCCCCTGAGGAGGAAGGAGAGGCAGAGACAAGATGTGAAGAACTGATCTTAAACCCCTGCTCCCCATCCCCTGTGCCTCTGAGGG